AAATTGATTTTCAGCTGGTACCTTTTGTTATTTTGTCTTCTTTTGAACAAGTGCATGTTTTGGGATAACCAAGACGGTGCTTTATGAGAGGATTCTGGAGCAGGTGGGCCATGACGCTTTTGGTACGGTACACAACAAAGCCTACCATTCAATAATCTTGTGAGCTTTACATACCAAATTTAGACCTTGATAGTTTGGCCCGACACGAGGTCAGTTATAGCGAACCTCCTTTTTTTTTTTCGGACAATTCAGCGCGTATCCTTTCATTTTTCTAACACTCAATTTCCAACTCTTTTAGCAAACACTTTTTGTCGTTTCGAATATTAGTTACTCTTCAACTTTGGTTGGCTAATTCCCTCCGTACATAGATGGTCTGCAAGTATGATGGTTTTAATGACGATTTTAGCATCGTTGGACATGTCTTTCAAGTGTATCTTACTGGTGGATTTAAAAAACCTCGTGAATTAACTTGGATAACTGGAGTTGTTTTAACAGTTTTTATTTTTCTATACGTAGCTATCTTGTCAAGCACACTGGCTGACATATTGTCTGACCAGATGAGATGGCACCTCCCAACCTTCAAACAATATACAAAAATGAACTAGTTCCAACTAAAGTAACACAGTTATGGCCAAGTGACAATAATTGCGTAGTCTGAAAAATACAAGTTCGTACAACTTTCCTAAGAGTTTTCCTTGAAGGCAAAAAGCTTTTCATATTAAATTTATAATATCTTTTATATGCTCTCAATCTTCAAAACGAATCCAAAAATTTTAGGTCCATAGTTTAATTCCTGTTGTGATTCTTGTCACATATCCACACTTTGTCTAATGAACGCCAATGGCCGAGGCATGCACATTCATGAATTATTACAGCTGGCTGGTTGCTCGAATGCTTTCCTGCAACAACATACAATCACAGTAAAAAATGCTAAGGACGAAGATTGCAGAGTAATGGCATGCCTCACGGCAGTTGTTCCGACAAGATAATATAAAGCATCGAGCACCTGCTTACGCTTTCCCACAAATTGTTGTAAGACAAAAGACGATTTGAGAAGTGCGAGGCACCAACACTCGGATGGGGCTCAAGTGTTTTTCCATAGAAAAATGAACCCGGGCAAAGTTTTCCATACGAATCGAGATACGAGTGCCGCTACTGTAGAGAATAAGCAACCTCACACTCTTGCATGATATGGATTTCGAAAACAGAGATGAACTGGCAAGAGAGGAACACAACTTGAGCCTCTCCTACCTCAAGCATTAACAGTTCCACCCTCCACACTAGATGCAATTTCGTTCGTTCTCGTCATTTGCTAAATTTGGTTTGGCTTTTAGCTGCTTGCCGCCTTTACGAAGGTTGACAAAGCAAACTCAATAGACGCTTGTTTTGGTCTTTTACCACTTCTATTGAGTTTGCTTCATCAAAAACGCCCTTGCTTCTCTGCTGGCTGAACGAAGATGACGGCAGATGACGGCAGAGAAGGTGTGATGGAAGGGACCTTAGTAAAGGAGAGAGGCCAACATGAACCGTCAATCGAGCAACAATCTCAGCTGATGAAGACAACATTCATAGGATGTAAGGAAAAAAACTCACGAGAAGACGCATCAGGAGAAGGAAAAATAAACCTGGAAAGGAACGGCCCCGATAATAACCTCCGATTCATCATCGATGCCAAAACAAAGGCGACCAAAATGTGGTAGGTGAAGAACAGGCACAGTCAATTCAACCGTCTTTGAAGCAAGACAACATATCTTCACAAACAGCAATCCGTACAAAAATGTGTTATGCGGCTTATGCCTAAGGAGAGAGAGGAGAACGCATAGCAAACCTATAGTCTAAGTGCATCGGCCGGAAAAAGCTTCCAGGGTCCCTGAGAGATGAAGGGGTCAGCCACTTCGGAATAGCAGTGACGTTCAGGTGTACGCCCTGCTAGAAAAAACATTTTATTTATTTATTTTATTATTATTATTATTCAATAAAACAGGACCTTACGATCCTGGCACCCTGCTCGAAAACATAATCTCCTCGCAAAAAAACTTTTTCTTCTTCTACTCTTCTTCATTTGTTCATCAACTCCAGTCCGTAATCGCCAGCCAGGTGGCAGGATTAGGCAATAAAGATCCAATCTGGTGTGGCTTGACAGTCCATCGTACCCGAGCAAAATAACGACCGAGGAAGAAATTCGGAATACTGGAAGTCCACGCGAATGATCAGCAGAGAAGCAAGTGATCCTCGTCTTCAGGTGATATCCAGTATGAGATGGTGCTAGATAAAGAGTCCGTAGTAGACAGTGCCCAGTGCCCAGGTCATCGCACATTACCTGCACGAACCGAAAGAGTATACCTATCATGGTATACAGTACCGCATTTGCGGCTCACATTATACTATATAGGGTGTACATATGGAAGACTACACAGTACGCTACAGACATCACATGTGGCACCTCTACTACGTATGTAACCGGTACTACGTACTATCCGTAGATACAACCTAGTTCATGGACATCGTATGCAATCATCCAAACATGTTACGAAGTCTGTCTTATTGCGACTATGGTGCATGATGCAAACTAGCGTGGCCACTGTACGTTCCCAACTGCTCCTATCACACGGTATCACACCATACGGACGTCCCAACCCACACAAGAGCACCACTCCTGTCCTTTCGCATCAAGCAGTCACCGCTCACCAAAATCGTGTCGAAATCTGCAACACCAAGCAGGGGACGCAACCCATTCGCACCTCCCTCCACACCTGCAACACCAAGCATCTTCTTCCTCTGCCTCAGTCTGCACATCCACCCACCTCTGTCCGCACCTCCCCCCACCTCCTTCCACACCTCACCCCTCCTCCCTACCTCACACCCCTCCTCCCTCCACCTTACCACTCACCTTTCCCCACCTCAAACCCCATCTCCCCTCCCCTTTTTACCCCCCTCCCCACCCCTCACCTCACTCCTCACCTCAACCCCTCACCTCACCTCAAACCTTGCCCCTCACAATTCCTTCCCCCAGTAAGCTCACCTTTCCCCCTTCGCCACCCCACCTTTCCTTCGGCCGCCAGTCAAGAAAAAGCATACAAATCAACCCCTTAGCTCAAATCCTTGAACCACCCTGCTCTCCCCAATCCGCTTTGACCCCTGTTGGCAGCAAGCAAAGCTGCGACGGCTTGTCCATACAATGGTAGCTAAGCCCTTTTGCTCATCCTACATAGTACAATCCTCACCTCCAGGCTCAGCCTGCAACTGAGCAGTCTACACCCTGAGCACGCATCTCAGATTCCACCCTCTCTGAAAAAAAGAGGATTGGTTAGATTGCCAAGGTCAGGTTGCCACAGCACCCTAAGAGGACCGTACGAATTCCGCAAAAGAGGACCGCTACAAATACCGGAAAAGAACCAGCTTAGAACATGGGAATACACACACTGGGACTTTCTGAAACAGGATTTGACTGCAACAACTGAGGACCGTTTCGAATACTGCAAACGACCCAGCTTATGACGGTTTCAGAATGCAAGGACACAAGGAGCCGTCTTTTGCAGTCCCACCCATGTCCCGTGGCCCAAGCAGCCATCTATAAGCCCCCTACCCATGTCCAATTGTCACACAATGCAAGGAACTGTGTGAAATAGGATTTGACTGCAACAACTGACATCATATTCACATTTCACAGGACACGGGGATTACTTCACAGGACACAAGGAGCCGTCTTTTGCCGTCCTACCCATGAATCGCAGCCGCTTGCATCCAGCATACAGCGCGATCATATGGACCTTGTCAGTCTTTCAGCACCCCTCTAGTCCCATCCCCTCAGTGCAGGGAAGCAGTAAGGTAGCCAAGGCATCATTAGCCTTACAGAGGCTTCGATACACACGATGGTCAGTTTGCACATTAACCCTGCTATACGGCGGATTAACAAAACGACACTCTCCTCAAGAAAGATGCCTCCAACTTCAGAAACATAGAAGTAATTCTGAAGCATCAAGACAGCAATTCTTGGACTCCCAAGGTTGGTTGGAGAACTGCGAGAGCCCCCATGTTATTTGGCTATGCCCACTTTCCGCTTTTTCACTTCTCTGCGTTCTCTGAAGCGGAACCTGGTCCGACAACTTACGAATCCCATCAAAACTCACATCAGGCGTAGGAAATTCTAAACATAGCAACTCGCCAGCCAATATTCTCTGCATTAGTCCTACGAAGTGGGGAAGGCCTCAAATGCTCCACAGGTCCAGCGCTGTAACACTGCATGGACAGCCTCCGCACAGCACTAAGTCCACGATGTGCAAGGGCAGCAGCCTCCACACAGCACTCGGTTCACGATGAAGTGAATCGCTGACTTACAGGTACTGTTACTTCAAGCTCTCTCCGGTGGCATACTACGCGGACTAAGCATCTCTCTCTGGTGGCATACTACGCGGACTAAGCAGCTCTCTCTGGTGGCATACTACGCGGACTAAGCAGCAGTTGATAGGAAGGTGACATGAGGCACTATTCAATAATGACTAATTGTTGTTGGAGGGGGCAGGATTTTCTTCTTCACCAAGCAAAAGCTCACAGGGAGGGAGGTTGAGCTTCTGTGGGATACTGCCATGTCATGACCTCATATCTGCCGTTGTGAACAGCATTGCATTGCTTGATCTAGTACTAGGATAACTCCTTGTATTGAATGGGTATGGAAGGATGTCGCTTGTATACAGCAATCACTGGGTATTCATTGCACCTTAGCCTGTGGCACGGGATTGCTGATCCCCTTCCCTCTCTCTCTCTCACTCTCTGTCCCTCGCTCTCTCTCTCCGCCCCCCCCCCCCCCCCCCTCTCTCTCTCTCTCTCTCTCTCTCTCCCCCCCCCCCCCCCCCCCCCCGCCGGTTTGCCCCCATTGCACACCCATTCAATCTCTCCCTCTCTCTCTCTCAACACACATTTCACTTCACTGGTTGACTTCATGCACATCGGATTGCCACAGGACTCCCATCATTCTGCCGATTGTGTACAAGGAAAGGGGACATTGATCAACATGTTACAGTGGAACACAACAGGAAGCTTTCCACGCTGTGACAGTCAAAATTACGATAACAAATGCAGTGAATTGGGCTACAACAGTTCTGAGCATCAATTACCAACGGCAAAACATCCATTGGCACTGAGAGGTCTTCTCACACATGCAAAAGGAGAACCTGCTTCAGGTGTTGGGCCTTTTTACTGACAGCAAGCCTTTCTCAGCATCAAGAGCTCCTTTCTTGAGCAGTCTCTGCCTCAGCATGAAGAATGCCAAGAGAAGAACTCCTCTCACCATTTCCACCCACACTACCTGTCTATCTGTATATCACACCCATTCACATATATGTATATATATATATATACCCTCCTGATGATGCCCACACAATCTACTTGTTGCCCACTTCACCGCATTCTCTCCCCCCCCCCCCTGCCCCCCCCCACCACGCCCCTGGACAAAATGCAACAGCACGAGGCCTACAACTCTCTCTACCCAAATCCTCTTCTCACCCATTCTCAACGTTACATTTTTGCAACACATTTTGCTGCTGCCACTTGAGGAACGCATGCTCCTGCAAAAAAAAAAATTCAAGTCGATCCTCCTTCATTCATAAACAAGAATGACCAACACAACTGCAATCCATCCTGCCTGCATCATTCACGCAGAACAGGGAGATAAGGACACTCACTCATGTGTTCTCCAGAGCCCTCATGGTGTACATCTTCATGGCCCACCGCCGCAGCTCGCATGATGTGCCTCTCCACATTCCCCTCTCCCTTGCCCCCCGAGTCCCTCCCAACCCCCCTGCCCCTGCCCCCCACCCCCACCCTTCTTCCCCGGACTTCCTCCTGTGCAGTTCTTCAGCCAATCATAGCTATCACTTTATCTAACAGGTTGCTGATTGTAGTGGGTCTTGTCCTTCTTCTTTGACATCTTTGCACTCCTAGCCGCAGCTTCTGCTGCCGCCAGCTTTGCCTTGGCCGCCACCTCATCTTTCTCTTTCTTCGATTTCGATTTCTTCAACGACGCAAGCCTCTTCAGCACCTCCTTCTTGTCCGTGACACTGTTCGGAGTTTCCTGCGAAGTTTCCTCTACCTGTTCGCCAGCAGGACTTGACACCTCCTGCTCAGGTCCACCACTCGCACTTCGATCCCCTGCCGGTTTCTCTCCTGTCTTCTTCTTCTTTTTCTTCTTCTTGGATTCCCCTGTGCCTGCAGATGCATCCTCGCTTCCTTCCACGGTGTCCTTGTCCTCTTTTCGCGATGAACCCTTCCCAGCATTCTCCTCTGCCTTACCTATGGGATTGCAGCATTTCACATCCACAACAATAGCAATGAACAAGGGAGGTCATGGTCAGTGAAAAGGGCATTACCAAAAGAGCAATGGCAATCCAATTACGTCCAGGGAATTAATCATCGGCAATGTCTCCGATTCAGGTGCTGCTCTCTGAGAATTCTATGTGCTATCCATCTTCCAGGTGGTGAAGCTTGGGCCATCCATAACCCATCAGACCAGGCACAGGCTGAGGATATGCCCGTAGAGCTCTGCTAGTACAGCTGTCCAGAGCCAAGGCTGTGAGAAGCAAATTTGAAGGAAAGCGCGCAGCTTTCTGCCCATAACCAATTCCTTGCTACAGCAGATAGATCATCAGCAATTGCAATATACCAATCACTCATCGCGGAGTGCGTGTGTGTCTTATCATGTTCACTCAGTGAAAATGCGACAACTCCACAGACAAAGCATACCTGTGCCACACCGTTTTGTCGTGTTTTGTCGCATTTTCACTAACTCTGTGTGTGTGTGTGTGTGTGTGTGTGTGTGTGTGTGTGTGTGTGTGTGTGTGTGTGTGTGTGTGTGTGTGTGTGTGTTGGCATTTTTGTGTCAGCAACACCACACATCACCCCCAAATCCATGCTTATCCCTTTATGGTTAAAATGAGTGCGCAAGATTGGCCACATTTGTGCGTGCCCACACCCATCTTCCCTAAAAGCGCAAGCAAAAAACTCCATACCCACCAACCTGGATTCAACAACCAACGCAGACTGTTCAGTTCAAATACCGCGACAGTCGCAGCAGCAAGTCCCCAAAACGACTCCACGACAGCGGGGAAGACTGTGAGCGGAGAGGGAGGAATCTTACAATCTTCATCATGCGTCATTCAGGTGAAGGGAATCGGTCAGATAGGCAAAAAAGAAAGAGGGGGAGGACGTACAAAGCAGTTCTGTGTGAAGCCAACGCAGCCCCGCAATCAGCAGGTGGCAGTCCTCCAAGCCTTTTTGCCGCCTGCAATGTGGTGGCTCTTTAGAGGGGAGTCCTGCTGCTGGGGAGAGTGCAAAGGGAGTTTAGGGGAAGGGGAATCTAGGAGAGCAACGGGCAACAGTAGCGAGGAAAATGAACAAGGAAAATGGAGCAAGAGCATGGTGATAAACGGGGATAGGGCGAGAGTACCAGGTTCTCTGCCCTTCAATCATTCGAACTGCGACGGAAGACTTAAAGATTTGCGTTTGGCAACGGAAAGCGAAGAGAGACGGAGAAACATTCAGGTTTAGCAAAGAAGAGCGAAGACAGAGAAGGGGAGGAAGCTTCTAGGGTTGGCTATGGGAAGGAGGCTCAAGCGAGAGTTCGGCCGTCTGACGAGCTCAATACCACTTCATCCCCCGAATCCTATTGATCTTTGACCAACACCTCCACATGCATCGGGAAGTCCGTTGCTCCGAAAGGAAGACATCGCAACCTAAAAAAATTATAAATACATATAAATAGATGGAAGTCACCGAAAACTGCCCGGTGAACCATAAGCAGAAAGGGAGAAAAGGAAAAGAAACCGATGACATGCCCGATGACTCTGTGACAGACTGTTCCGTCCAGTGTCACCGAGTCATCAGGAGGCTCACCCCTCTACAGTCTGCAAAGTACCCTAACCGTGATGGACACAGTAAAGTGATAATCCAACTTAATCCCCCCCAGTTGCAATTGGGCACCAACCATCACACTCAAGGGGTATATATATATATAGAGGCATAGAGAACTGACCGGCGAAAACCATAGGCAGAAAGGGAGAAACAGACAAGAAACGGGGGGCTGTCACCGACTGGCTGAACCACCCTACCTTCTTCCCCGAATACAACGTACGGTCATTATAGCTGTATTCGAGGAATCTTTCAGTCTAGATACAGCTATAATGACCGTCCGTTGTATTCGGGGGAAGAATGTAGTCTTGTGGGTGACAGCGATGGATCCAGCTGCAATTTCGGGAGACACAGGGCATACTCACACTAGAACTTTTTCTTCTAACCTCTGGACATGCTTCCAGTCAGATTCATCCAGCTCTGGCCGTAATTGCAGCCACATACATCTAGGACCGTGCTATCGGGAGAAACAGGGGATACTCACACTAGAACTTTTTCTTTTAACCTCTGGACGTGCTTGCAGTCAGATTCATCCAGCTCTGGCCGTAATTGCAGCCACATACATTTAGGACAGTGCTACCGTGAGTAAGCCCTCAGGGATACTGGGTTAGATGTGTGATTCCTAAAATAGCAGTCGTACATGAAGTATAGAATCAATCGTTTCACTTTTCCTTTCCTGGATGTAATGACCGCCGAGCCTACCTTCTTCACCCAAATACAATGTACGGTCATTATAGCTGCATTTGGGGTATCTTTCCGTCTAAATACAGCAATATTGACCGTACGTTGTATTCCGTTGAAGAAGGTAGTCCACTGGTGTCTAGTTCCAAGAGCTTAACAGTCGATGCATTGAACCCATACTTCACAGACAGGGCCTCCAAGTTGGCATCGTCCAGAGTTGTGAGGTCGTCCTACATCACTGGAATTTACCCTAGAACTTGGTCAAGCAAGCATCTTCCCATGCCGCCACCCTAATACAACCCCCCCGATTACCCGATCTACCGACAGACGTGGCTGTCTGTCCTAGGCGGCGGACAAAAGCGTCAGCGACACTAGATGACAAGGGAGTGGGCCACGACGACGACTTGAAAAAGTAGAGTCATTTCGGATCCTTTCAGGGCATTCTCACACTAGGAACTTTTTGGAGTGAGCTCTGGACGTGATGGTGGTCAGATGCATCCACATGTGGCTGTGATGGATCCTTTTCAGGGCATTCTCACACTTGAACTTTCAGGAGTGAACTCTGCACGTGATGGCGGTCAGATGCATCCACATGCGGCATGTGGAAATGGAGTAGTTGCGATCTGGAGGGTGACAATGGTGGTGTACACGCACCCACCCTCGAAGCTGCTGCTCTCTCTGCACTGGACACAGAGGGCAGGGCCAAGACATTCGTTCCGTACGGAACACCACATTACGAACCCGTACGGAACACCACATTAGGTACCCGTACGGGACACCATATTATGTACCAGTACGGAACACCACATTACGTTCCTAAATCGACCAAAGACTAAAGATAATTACTTTGGTAACCAGAGACTACAGATAATGACAAAAAAAAAAAAAAGCAGCGGTTCCATACGCATACAAGCACTCGTTCCGTACGGATGCACCAAGCATTCGTTTCCAGTACGGATGCATTCGTTCCGTACGCATGCAATGTGTTCCATACGGGAACAAACACTTGTTTTCAGCACAGGCAGGCATAACAAGACTGCGCTTGATCTGTTGCCTTTGTGAAAGAAAAGCCCAAAAAGACTCCAAAAAAAAAAAACAAAAAAAAAACAGTCACAAAATGACAAATCGACCAAAGACTAAAGATAATTACTTCGGTAACCAGAGACTACAGATAATGACAAAAAAAAAAAAAAAGCAGCGGTTCCATACGCATACAAGCACTCGTTCCGTACGGATGCACCAAGCATTCGTTTCCAGTACGGATGCACTCGTTCCGTACGCATGCAGTGTGTTCCGTACGGGAACAAGCACTTGTTTTCAGCACAGGCAGGCATAACAAGACTGCTCTTGATCTGTTGCCTTTGTGAAAGAAAAGCCCAAAAAGACTCCAAAAAAAAAAAAAAAAAAAAAAACAGTCACAAAATGACACTACAAAGGAACGTTCAATTGACTGAAGGGTAGTTTTGCAATTTCGTTCGGTTGGTTTGGATCCATTTGCTTCTTCGCTATGGTTCCCCCACGTTCTGAGCCCGCGATCTTGTTCCCCGTACAGACACAAAGTCTGGCCTTAACCTAACCTACAATCCTATTCTACGTTTTGAAGGTCAGCAGAATTCTTGGTCCAGTCCAGCATATAGGAAATCCACTCAACACGCCGGGTTTCCCAAACCAGGAACAAAGGTATTCTACGTTTTGAAGGTCAGCTGAATTCTTGGTCCAGTCCAGCATATAGGAAATCCACTCAACACGCCGGGTTTCCGAAACCAGGAACAATTCTTGGTCTGGCGTGCACCTACAAGTCTATGGGTCTCGCCGCAGGGCACACGAAACGAAAACGAAACGAGTGCATCTGCCCACGAAAGGTGGCAAAATACACTCGTTACTATTTATAGCAAACCGATGAACCTGGCCATTTTCTGCAGGAAGATGCACTCGTTTCTTTTTTCGTTTCGTATCCCGTGCTGCGACGCCCTATCCTATGTTCGAAAGGTCGGCTAAACAAGAACGAACTCCAAATCAAACTCAACACGCGGCGCTCCCCTAAAACCAGGAAACTGAGGGCCCAACCACTTTTCGCCGTCGTGCTGCTATGGGCACACTGACCCACTTGTTCGTCCTTCCATCATTACACTGCCACGATCCGTCTCTCCTTTCTTCTCTTCTAGTGTAGTTTTTCTCGTATAGTTTTCTAATGCAGTTTCCTAGCGTGGTGTTCTAGTGTAGTGTTCTAGTGTAGTGTTCTAGTGTAGTGTTCTAGTGCAGTGCTCCCTCAATTGATCATCACCGTTGTGCTCATGACCTGATTTGCAACAGCATTGATCTGACAAGTGTCGCAGATCTACCACTGATTCTATAACCTGATAGAATGCTTTTTCTTTTGCTTTTTTCTTTTTAAAGAAGAAGATACAACAACAACGTTTTCCATCCCGCTGCCTGCTGCCAGGTAGGACAACAAGGCAGGAGAAGAACCATAGCTACACGGCATAAGCGATGAAGTAGAGAGCAGGCGAACAAGAGATGCGCCAGTATGCCATTGGAGAAGAGAGGGGGAGAGAGCAACGCAGAGAGGTGTGAGAGTTTGTAGCATACCCTTTTGACTACTGTACACCTCCGTTATTGACACATGCCTCGAGTCAGAGGACGAGCAATCCCTGTGTGCTTAATCGCCGCTTATGTCGACTAATCGCCGCCGCTGGGCGAAAGAGCGGCGACCAAGAGACGCGAGTGGCGGCTACAGAGACGAGCAGAGTCTGTGACTGCGACACCAGCAGCGCCAGCTGGGACAAGTCTACTGCATGGGGCTTGCAGTGGTGTTTATGAGAACGGATACACATCACGTAGGACAATCTAGAGTCGCGCACGGTGAAGTACCTTCGCAGTAAGGATTGGATTCCCGTAACAAGGAAGGAGTCCTTATCTCAACAACGACGATGTAATAATCATATAGCGTTCCTATCACATGATGATCGGATCACATCCTACGCGCGTGATGCTCCATAGTATTAATGAATACATACAGTATTACACTGTGATAGCGACGCTTGACATTACTCTCGCTTGTGCGCCGGGCGCCCGCGAGGGGTGCGAGGGGTTGGGAAAGGCGGCGGAAAGGCGGCGGACGGGATGGGGAAAGGCGGGGGAAAGGCGGCGGACGGGATGGGGAAAGCGGGGCGAGGCGGGGGACGGGATGGGGAAAGCGGCACTATTCTCCAACGCCGTCAACACCTGCATTTCATGCTTGAATACGCCACAAAAATATTTTTTAAGTTTGTGCCAAGGTGTCTTTATTTGACTTGACAACCGCCTCCCCCTCTCGCTACATAGAAAAGGCATTTTACTGGTGTACCGGACCAAGGGCGGAAAACATGAAGACAGTGTTTGGCGTACTTGGTAGGAGATGAGACGAGAGGAAACAACAGGCGGCCCACGTCAGCTCGCCCAATAATCACCCTGCGAAGGGCAATTACATACTGGGATTTGTCAGCACGCCGGAGTGCGCTCGTGAGAGGAGACAGGGTGGGAAATGGCAGAGAGAGAGAGAGAGAGAGAGAGAGAGAGAGAGAGAGAGAACATCAGCAATCCGCAAACCTGATGTCACAACAACATCATCATCATCATCTTCCTCACTTTCATGATCCTCTTCATACTCATCACCTACCCAACAATTGTGGCTCTGTTCATCATCATCAACCGCCCTTGACGACGCATCCCGATCCCGATCCCGGTTAAATGTCCTATCCCTCGTCTTCATCACGACCCTTTCTTGGTCATCCTCCTCGTGAACATCACCGTCCTTCACGGCGCCTCCGGAGAACAAAGGCATCTCTCTTAAGACGCACGAAAGCACCAGCCAGCGTGCGTGACCTTTCGCACTCAGGCCATGACACTAATCAATCAATCAACCAATCACGGAAAAGACACTAATCAACACTAATCAATCAATCAATCAATCCCGGAAAAGACACTAATCAACACTAATCAATCAATCAATCACGGAAAAGACATTAATCAACACTAATCAATCAATCAATCAATCAATCATGAAAAAGACACTAATCAACACTAATCAATCAAGGGAAAAGCCAATCAACATGCCGTATTCTACTTACTAGAAATGGAGCCACCCGCTAATCGCGATCGACCAGCCAGGGGCGATGATGCAAGAAAGAAGATCGAGATGCTACCGGCGCCCATCCAGAACAAACTGCTATTTTTTTTCTTAGTAATGCATAATCATTACACGTCAGCAGCAGCACGCATGTTGATTGGCCATTCTGGGTCAGACTGAGCAGATGACTTGGATACCCGAGAACAAGGATATCACCATTACAGTGTTACCCACGTTAGCAGCAGCAGGCATGATCTGGTCCGGGTCACAGCTTGAGCCCCCGAGGTCGATTATCGACGTCACCCCGCCCTGTACCCTAATCGCAACCCCCTCTACGTCAGATGCTCTTCCTCCCTCTCCCCCCGTCTAATCACCCTTTCTCTCACACATCGCTCTGTGCGCAGCTTCAGTGGACAAGCATGAGTACAATGTTCTGCAATTGGTCATCATCGCCCTATCCTCATCTATTCATGATCTCTCTCAGAGATTTCTCGAGTGTTACTCGTAGCAAACGGAATCAAAAGGAGACGACCGAAGTAATCAAATACAGAAATCAGCAGAAAATTCTCCTCTACGCGGAGCATTTTATGAACGACAGCGGTCGCTGCTCATTCTACTCAAAAAGCAAAAGAGTCAGAAATGTTCCCGGTAAAGGGAGAGGGGGGGGAAGGAGGAAGCAGGGAAAGCAAGCGAAAGAGGACAGAACGAACAGGAGAGAAGAAATGGAGACGAAACGTAGGAGAGCAGAGGATGCGAAATTGGGGGCGAGGAAGGGAGTCAGAACGACACAGGGGGGCGAGGAAGGGGGTCAGAACGACACAGGAGGGCGAGGAAGGGGGTGAGAACGACAAAGAAGGGGGAAGAGACAGAGCCCGCGGTGGTAGAGGGGAGAGGGGAGAGGAGAGAGGAGAGAGGAAAGAGGAGAAAATAAGCGGGAGAGACGACGAGGAAGGAAGTGAAGTGGAGAGAGAACTACGGTAGGAGACGATGCCGAGAAAAAACGACGACGGTCAAAGACGGAGAAGGACGATGGCGAGGATGCGCGTGAGATTAGTCGAGAGAGGGGTGAGACGAAAAGGCAGAAAACAGGGCGAGTGAGGGCATACTCACACGAGGGACTTGTTCTACTACTTAGCTCTGGACATGATTTCAGTGAGGTTCATCCTGGACATGATTTCAGCGAGGTTCATCCAGGTCAGGGCGTAATTGCAGTCAGATACATCTACGAAAGTGTGAGTATGCCCTGAGAGAGAGAAGGGAATGACAGACGAGGACAGCAGAAAAAGGAAGGGGGCCGATGGAGAGAGGCGGCGGGCCGGGGGGGGAGAGGGAGGGAAGGAAGAACACAGACGGTGGCCGAGAGGAAAGAGGAACGGAGGCGGAAATCAGATGGGGGCAAGGAGGGAAAGGAGAAAGGAGGGGAAGAAAAAGAGGGGGGCAAGGAGGGAAAGGAGAAAGGAGGGAAAGAAAAAGAGGGGGCACAAAGGATAAGAGAGGGAAACGAGAGAGAAAGAAGACGGCTAGAGGGGGACGGAGAAGCGGTGGAAGAAAGGAGGAGGATGGGGGGAAGAGGAAGAGGAGAAGCAGAGTGGAGGCAAATAGCAGGGCAAAAGGAGAGCGCAGGAAAGGAAAAAGAGAGGAGCCACCGGGAAGAGAGGGGGGAGAGCATCTGACGAAGAGGAGGGAAGAGGAAGATAGAGACGGAATAAAGAAGCACGACCGTGGAGTCAGTAGGGAAGAAGAGAGTGAAAGGGAAAGGGGAAAGAAAGGGCGGTAAAACAGAGCAACGGCCAGCATGATGTCGTCATCATCGTCCGTCTCAACCCATATATCTCTCTCAGTGAATCAATGCACCACGACCACTCACAGGTTATGGTCGGGAGTAACTGGGGGCGCAGTCGAAAATCGACTTCGCTTATTCCCGACGACGATCTACATGATGGAGAAAAAGAGATAACAACTCACCGACTGAACTACTCTCCCATCTGCTGAGCTTTCGACTCATCTCGAAAGCGCAGTCGAAACTAGAACCACTAAGCAATCTACTCTCCCAACGCAGGATTTTTAAAATGCATGCAGCGCAGCAAGAGCGCCACGGTCCATTCCATTATGATTGACCACCAGAAGGAAAATGTCAAGGGTTATGTACTGGCAGAGCACAAGACTAATCAGAAAAACTAATCAGAAAAGAAAGTCCCGCCCTTTTTCACCCTGCCACGGACGGCAGAACTCCGACAACCACCCTCCATCCCCCTCCTTCCATCGTGAATCTTCTCTATCATTTCTCCCTTACGATCGACAAAAGCCAGAGTCGTCAGCAATTGGCTCATTGCTTCGTTGTTTCGATGGCTGGCTGGTTCCTCTGCTTCCTGCCTGACCGCGCCGCGAACTCCATCATTGATCCAATCATATGCATTCCCCTTGAAAGCCACGTGGCAGAGCGACTGGCAGGCGAACGGGGAATCGAGAATTATTGATCTTTGACAAGTGGAGATGCACACCCATACGTGTAAAACAAAATATATAAATATAAAAGAAAAAATATATATATATAGATATATGCACAGATCACGCACGCATGGACGGATGGACGGCCTTCGTGACTCTGGCCGCCGCGCCACCAGAAGATGCTAAGACGGTGGGACCGAGCAAAGAATACACAGGAAGAAGAGGGGAGGGGGAGAGGGGTTCGGTGGGTGAGATGCAACCCCTCCCCTGTTAGGGGTGGATCAAAAACACGGGAAGCAAATACCCCCTCTGTTAACAAAGCAAACAGAAAGGGAGGGGTGGATGAAAAACACGGGAAGCAAATATACAGTATAAATTACTACGCTAGAAATGCCAGCATTCCTGATGGACGACAGCGGGTAGGTGCGGAGGAGGAGGAA